TGTTCACATGGATAAGGAGCATAAAATAGAAGCACGAACAATAAATAGTTTGAATCTTAATCACCAATCGGTGGATGCAGATATGATAGAAGGTTGTGATCACCTTCTGGAAATAACCGAGGATCTTACATATGATCGAGGTACACCTACTTTTCTTATTGGCCAGGACAACTGGCATTTGATTATTTCGAGGAAGATAAGAAGTGGTGGGTGCAGAGATCCAGTTGCATCATTAACAGAATTAGGTTGGGTATTGCACGGGCCTACTAAGGGTCCTGGAAAAGTTAGTGTATTAAAGCTGGTAAATCATAATGAAGAAGAAGCTGAAAAGAATGAAGTTAAATTAGAAGATTTGTTCAAGAAGTTTTTAAGTATAGATTCACTAGGAATCGAACCAAAACGTCAAAAAAATGATCCAGAGGAACGCGCGTTGTCATTATTAAAGAGCTACAGCCACCGTCTTCCTGATGGACGTTTTGAATCGGGGTTGTTGTGGTGCAAAGAAGAACTGGAGTTACCAGAAAATAGAGAGAATGCTTTAAGAAGATTGATAGCGATTGAGAAGAAATTAGATAAAAACCCTAAGCAGAAGATGGAATATAATGCTCAAATTGAGTATCTTTTAGAATGTGGCTATGCTGAGGAGGCCCTACCTTCGTCTCGTTCTGGCCGCACTTGGTACCTACCACATTTTGCTGTGATTAATCCATCAAAACCGAAACCGCGAATAGTTCTGGACGCTGCTGCTAAAACGAATGGGATATCCTTGAATGACATGTTACTTACCGGACCAGATCTGTTACAATCACTACCTGGAGTTTTGATGCGCTTTCGACAAAGACCAATTGCTGTGTCAGGAGATATTCGTGAAATGTTTCTTCAAATCAAAATTAGGACTGAGGACAGGGATGCATTGCGTTTTTTATGGCGAGGTGATAGACGCGAAAATGAACCTCAAGAATATCGTATGACAAGAGTGATTTTTGATGCGGCATCTTCACCTTGTACTGCCATTTACATTAAAAATTTAAATGCTGAAGAATATCGACGGGAGTACCCTGAAGCTGCAGATGCAATTTGTCGCAATCACTACATGGATGATTATCTCCAAAGTTTTGATTCTGTGGAAGAAGCTAAGCGTATAGCAAAAGAGGTCAGTTTTCTGCACCGTCAAGGAAAATTTCATTTACAAAAATGGGCGAGTAACGAATTTGAAGTTATAGCCGAGATGGAGTCGCAACTCCAGAATAGAAGTAAAGAAGTCGAGCTTCAAAATAGCTCATTAGCTCCGTTGGAAAAGACTTTGGGTCTAGTTTGGAGAACCACTGATGATCACCTTACTTTTAATCTGGATATTAAAAGGGCTAATCTGGAAGTACTCGAAGGGACCAAGCGACCCACTAAACGAGAATTCCTAAAAGTTATTATGTCTCTTTTTGACCCCTTGGGTCTTATTACACCGATAACTTTGCCCGCAAGAGGGATATTACAAGAATCGTGGCGCCTCGGTCTTCTATGGGACAGCCTTCTTTCAGATGATTTGCATGAAAAATGGCTCGATTGGCTAGGTCATATGAGGCAGTTAAAGAACCTTTACATTCCTCGTTGTTATCCAGGTGTTTCGGTGGCCAATGATTTAGAGATGCACATTTTCGTAGATGCAAGCCAGACGGCGTATGTGGCTGCTGTATATTGGCGTGCTGTATTAGGAAATGAAGATGTGAGGGTCTCACTAGTTATGGCAAAGGGTAGAGTGGCACCAATAAAATTAGTTTCTATACCAAGATTAGAATTGCAAGCTGCCGTGCTTGGATGCCGTCTAGCCCGAAATGTGGAAACGGAACATGATCTAAAACCAAGACGTAGAATATTTTGGACAGATTCTCGTACAGTGCTCGCGTGGTTGCGCTCAGGTCCTCGGGTGTTTAAGCCATTTGTTGCACATAGAGTAGCTGAAATAGAGGAAGAGACAAGAGTCAGTGAATGGCGCTGGATTCCCACTGGAGAAAATGTGGCCGATGATGCCACTAGAGATGTACCTCGAAATTACAATAGGGATCATCGATGGTTTCGCGGTCCCAGTTTTCTATATTCTCCAGAAGAGACGTGGCCTAAGGAAAAAATAGAAGAAGCGGGAACTGTACAAACTACAGGAGAAGAGCGAGTGACAGTTGTCGAAAGTTGTACAATTAATCATCTAATAACTGGCTTGCCTGATGTATCCAGATTTTCGTCCTGGATGCGCCTAATAAGAACAACGGGTAGAGTTTTACAGTTCATTGACTTATCCCGCAAAACTCAAATTACTGCTTCGGTTCAAATTAGACAGAAACGGCAAGCGAGGAATGACGACATTTTATGGAAGCCGAATGCATCTCGACCAAGATTACTATCACGTAACGCCCATTCAGCTAGAGCAGGGGCATATAGCTCAAATAACAATTATATTCCGTTAGACCCTCATTACATCATCAGAGCAGAGAGCTTGTGGTGGAAAGCTTCTCAACATGAGAGTTTTGAAAATGAAATTATTTCGTTACAGAAGAAGCTTCCTTTGAGGAGAGACAGTCGATTGCGGACTTTAAACGTTATCATGGATAATGAGGGTATAATTCGGTTGAAATCTAGAATCGATGCTGCTCTCTATCTGAACGACGAACAGCGAAGTCCTCCAATTTTGGATGGTGAACACAGATACACCCGCTTGTTCATCACCTGGTTACACTGTAAAAACAATCATGCAGGACCTGATACGGTGATGAATGAAGTTCGATCTCGTTTCTGGGTGATACGATTGAGAACGGTTACTCGAAGTATTGTGAAGAGTTGTGTCCAATGCAGAATACTACGGGCAAAACCGGCGCAGCCTGCCACTGGTGATCACCCCGGAACAAGGTTGGCCCATCATCAACGCCCATTTTCTTTTGTGGGGTTAGACTATTTTGGCCCTTATAGCGTTACGGTAGGCCGCCACCATGAGAAGAGGTATGTTGCCCTATTTACTTGCCTTACAACTCGGGCTATCCATTTAGAGATTGCAGGGTCATTAAGTACAGATAGCGCAATTATGGCCCTGCGACGTATGATAGCGAGACGGGGATGCCCTACAGAAATACACAGCGATAATGGGACGAATCTCCGCGGAGCTGATGCAGAACTAAGGAGGGCAGCGCTTGAAATAACAAAAGATGAGGCGGAGGTAAGGGCGATACGATGGCGCTTTATTCCTCCAGGTGCTCCTTTCATGGGAGGAGCTTGGGAGCGAATGGTACAGTCAGTGAAGAGGGCGCTGGCAGCAACACTAAAGGAACGCCACCCGTCAGAGGAGATGTTGCTTACTTTGCTTTTAGAAGCAGAATATGTGGTGAATAATCGACCACTAACTCCTGTATCAACTTCACCAGAGGACATCGAAGCTTTAACACCGTTACACTTCATTCTTGGTGGTCCAGCGAGGGTTCCACAACCCGGGAGTTTTGCTGACGCTGACTTAAATCACGGGCGAATTTGGCGGCGTACACAACGGCTGGCAGATATGTTTTGGTCACGCTGGACCAAAGAGTATTTATTAAACATTTTACAGTCTCGTCGAGATCCTACAGGTCGAGGGAAGATGCCAGAGCTGGGAGATTTGGTGCTCGTGGTGGACGGAACCCTGCCCAGAAATTCGTGGCCTAGGGGAAGGGTCGTGGCGACTTTCCCGGGAAAAGATGGCGTCACTCGCGTGGTCGAGGTGCAGACTAAGGCTGGAGTACTTAAGAGGCCAACCAAGAAGATCATCGTGCTGCTGACGGAGAGTGCGCAGGACGCACTGGGGGGAGAATGTGCACGATAAAATTGCTCTTTGTTTAGTTTGTTAATAAATAGTGTGATGCAACTGCGGGGGGCGGGGGCCGGGCGAGCGTGTGGTGTGCTATCGTCTCGTTCATTCGCCTGAGGTCACTGACCACACTACACGCCGCTCGACACTGCTTCCGCAGCTGCACACTTTTTTCGAAAATAGTCTTTTAATTATTCGCCTCGTCATCAACGCCATGTGTGTATAATTACTAAGCCACGAATCACTATGGTGTAATAAAACCATCACTTTATCATTTGCCATTAACAGAGAGTCTTATTCTAATCCAGACGTCTTCATAAGATACATTTCAAAAATGTATTTAAAAAAATAGCTCCACAGATGAATAGTATCCAATCAGTGCAATCTAGTTGTAAGCGCATCTGAGCCCTTGCAAGGTAATTTACTGGTACTCGGGTTAAACTCATTTAGATCTCATTTAAAAGTACTTGTAAAATACGAAGCGGAAAATCCTGGCTTATGCTTTTTATTCTTAACGTGGGTATTTTACATTAGCCACAAGTCTTATTGCGATAGTTAAAAAAAATGTGTATGTGTGACACTGGCTGGTTGTAAAAATTATGAACGTTCGAAATTCAAAACTTCTAATTTGTTGCAAAAAAAATTTTGACATTTAAAAATGGAACTTCGTTGAAAACATTATTGTGCGTTTTTGTACAATCCTAGATGTCGCTTGAAACTTGACGAATGCTTTAAGAGTTTTCATTTCTTAAAGCTTTGCTTGTCTTATCTTACAGTTTTGTCTAAGACGAAATCGTTGTAGATTATATTACAGTATGTAATGTACCTGACATCTCCTTTGTAATGCTAATATCAGCTAAACACTTTCTTTCAAAGAAGGTGAAAATTTTTAAAACCGTAAAATTTAAATGACCATGTGTGGAACGTGCGTGGACAAAGGCGGGCCCGATTCTTCCGAAGAAATGCATTAGTCACATAGAAAAGGTATTTGTTTAAACGCTGAAAACAATAAAACTTTCCTCGAAGGCTTAGAACAAATTCATGTGTTAGTTTCCAAATGCCTTATTTATAGGACGACGCTTGCCATGACAAGATCTGTATAGGAGCATTTTTAAATTAAGAACAAAAGTGCTGTGTATCTATGATAAAAAAATAAATCGTTGTTGTGGAAAAAGAAAACATGTTAAAAGTAGGTTTTTTTATTCTACTTATAGTTGGTAGTTGTTATTGTTTGGAAGATTTAATTGAAGATGCTAGAGCAATGAAGAAAGGTTCTGCTAAATTGATAGGTAAGTTATATAAACGTCTGTAGTCTTTGTTTAAACATATTAATCTATTTACCATGAGTTACATAATTATATATCAACATTACGAATAGCCATCAGCTACAAATTAATCTTCGATAAGTCAAATAAATTCGTGTTAATCAGTTAAACAATGTAAAGGGGAGTAAAACAAATTAACCGTTAAAATTACGTAATTATTGCAATGATTGATTGAATACCAACAAAATCTGAAATTGAAATTATTATAATGATGACTTGGACTCTGACGATAGTCAATACTAAATTCCTTTCTTTTGTTACAAGTAAATCCATTAATAAATTATTAAAATAAGTTTTGAATTGAATTTATGTCATCTAAACGCGTAACAATTGATATTTTCGAAACAATGGGCGGCGTATTAAAAGTTGGAAAAATGGTAGACTAAATTCTTACTATAAGGATTTTCATTAACGAAGTCTTTATTAGTAAAGAAAGTAGTATATCATATAAACATTGCAGGCATATATCTAAGGGGATCAACTCTAAATACCTTCCAAATTCTTTTATAAGAGAATTTCTTTTCATTCTATTGGAAATACAATAAAGACTTTAGAAATTATAATGATCATATTTTGAACTAATCAGTGGATTTTAATGTAGTTGTACGTATAATGTATAAATTATACATTGTATTAAATATCTCTATAGTATACAAGAAAGTCAGTACCAGGCGTCTCTCCGCTAAGATCTTTTAAACTACGCAAACTACGGATTATGGAATTAAGGACTTTTAAACTACGGATTTCAACAATTGTGATTCAAGAGAATGTCGATAAAGTAGTTTTCCGCTTTCTTTTCTTTATCTTAAAATGCTCTGTCCTGTTTCCACGCTAAAGAAATATACAACTAGTATATCAAACTTTATGCCTAAGTTTTCGTGTTGCCAAACAATTTTTTTTGTTGTGTTAGGAAAGCTAAATAATACCTAAATTAATTATTAATCTAAATCGGTGCATTGTAACGTTTAATTCCCGATTGCCTTGTTAAAGAAGTAAGTATCGTTGTAAAAATGAATCTCCTTTACACAAATAGGCTTATTTAAATTAGAGATTGGCTGTAATGGATGATTCAAATAATGTAAATTTTACACTCTTTTATTAATATATAAAATTTACATATATGTAAAACCGTTTATGAATGGTATTCTTGTGTCTGACAGCCTCATTGGAATAATGTTCAGAAACTGAAGAGGCTGCTAAGTTGATTGGTCAGGTCACGGCGAGTCTTTTAGAAATGTCAATTTACATATATCGCAATTTTCCAACATAAAAGTTTTTTGTGTCTCACCTTTAAATAGATTCTAATCTAGATTTTTAAAGGCTTCTACAGTACCAAGTTCTTCCAGCATAAGACATTTGACGTAGCTTGACGTTAATTCGATTTTAGGTAAATCAGTTAAGAGGTTAGTCGACATCACAGGCGTCCGAAGAGCTGGCAGCTACCTCGGACAAAGAATTAGTCTAGTCAAAGGGGGAACGCTGCCAGTATCTTCGGAACCTTGCCTAAAGGGACTCCTTTTAATAATATATTTTAGTTATTATATTTTAAGGTTAGTTATTGTTTTTTGTTATTGAAATTTTGTCTTAAAGTTCTTCGTCGGAGACTTTTTTTAGTAAATCATTACTGTATTTTATTGAGATTCTGAATGCTATTTTATGCCGTATTTTGAAAGTTCACAATGTAGAGAATTCGATATACATATTAATATAATCTTAGGTAAGGTTACGTACCCTTGACTTGCAAACTGGTAGTAAATGTAAATTTAGAATCAATTTAACATCTTTTCTGTTGACTTTCATAAGTGTACTTGGTTATATGAATAAAGTTATTTTGAGTTTGAGACAAAACAAGTTATATTTAAATCCAATTACTTTTTCGTGTCTTTCTGTTAAACAGTCCTTACAGTTTAGCACTAGCAATTGTGAATAAGGAAGAAAAACTACAATAACTAATTATATTTAAAAGCAATATCTTACTTTGATTTCATGTTTCATCTTTCAGGTATGATTCTACTATTTATCCTCTCGAAAGTAGCAATCTTCAAGGCTGTATCAGTATTCGTGATGATGGCATTTTTCCAAAAGCTTTTTACTATTGCTGGCGTCTTCTTAAAGCATTATATGAAGAGACCAGCGCCAGTATACGGTGGTCCTAACTACGATACAGTTGGATATAGCTACGGGGCTCCTGAAGAACAATTGAAGGAGGGATACTTTGGTAGCGATATGACGAGTTCCTTCGACTGGCTTCTGACTAAGAGTAAATGATTTTGGTGTTATTTTTGTTTTATTCAATTAAGCTGTCCAAAAGAACATGTTACCGACATTGTTGGAAACCATAGACTTAGGTGCTCTGAAATATTTGTTTTTATTATAAAACTATATTATAATAAATAATAATAAAACGTTTCCAAAATCAAAATCTCGTATTCATATAGGTAACACAATGTACACTTATGAACGTTAAAAAAGAAATATGTATATATTAAATGCTTCTTAATTTACATTTACTGCCAGTTCTCAAATCAAGGGTGTAGAACGTAAGAAAAGAACTGGCAAATATGTTTGATACGGGTAATGTGAAGAGAACTGCTATTTATACAGAAATAACTCGTTTCACAGAAGCGATAAATAAAAATAAACATCAACAAGCGAATTTTACCTTGAAATGCCTTTAAACAATATAATTTAGCTAGCTTACTCGTATAAAATAAATTCCCTATTTTGTAAGGATTTTGTTATATAAAGGAATGATAAAGTTAGCGATTAAATTGGATTATTTAAATTTATTTATAAATAAAAACTTCTTCGCATTAGAAACATATTTATAAGCAGTTTCGAGTGCAGTGTTTTAATGTTTAATGCAATTTAATTTGGTTGAAAACCACCCCGACACAGAACAACAAAGGCTGTGGAAGCGAGTGGAATATTTCAAGACTCCTAGGGGAATTTCTTTAACATATTGCATACAGTATTTATTTTATGTTGCGTTCGAAACTCAAAATTTGTGAGAGAGTGCTATATAGGAAGCCTCTTTAATTAATAATAAATTGTTATTGTACTTTGTTGCCACTTGACACAGTGAAAAGCATTTTAATTATGGCCTTAAATATGGAATAAATAAATGATTTAAGAAAATTCTAGAATGGAGTACATGAGCTTGAGTATTCGTTTTAATTTTTTAGATTATTTTTGAAGTTATTCTTCTTTTGGCGCTTTTAGTAAAAAATTAAGAGAGTAAATTTTTACGATGCGCGCGCACACCGTCACAAAAAACCGACACCCGGAAATTGGCATAGTCAACATTTTAAAATAAAAAATGTCCTTTTCTTTAATTATGTAGAAATATTTTTTTGTGATATTTAAATAAACTTGGTTTAACTAGATAATGGGTTATAATAAAATTTTCAAAGTATTAAATACCTTTTTCTATAAAGAAAAGAAAGATAAATTTTTTAAAAAGATTTTATCTTGTTACGCCAAGAATATTATAAATAACTCCTAACGCGTGTACATAAGTACACACACCTGTTTTTTTATTATATTTTATACATTATTCAATCGATTATATTCTAGCAGTTTAGTCTTTGTTCCGTGTACTTTCAGGTAAATCATATAGTTTTCGCCGGTATTAGTGTTTTTTACAAGAGTTTTTTATATATTTTAGTATAGACTGTACTGCGAAAGATGGCGACATGACAATTTACATAGACTTAGAGCGGTAAATTAATTTGAAGAACTGAAACGCGTTTAATACTTTCATTGTCATTTCTAGTTTTTTTATGGCTCTGGCACGGTTTGTGCATTAGCCAGCGTCAAGTATATAAGATAATTCGTGCTTGCTTTAGAAATTCGACCGTGTCCTCCATGTACGGTTTAAGCACTCGCCCGGTACCGCACAACCCTCCATAAGGCCGAGAACAAATTTAAATTAAATTAAAACTTGCCCTCGAACCGGGAATCGAACCCGGTACCACTCACCTAGCTGCCACTTAATAAGACCGCTAGGCTATGAGGCCCTTCATTTCTAGTTTTAGGTATGATTAAGTTATATTATGGTTACTATAACAGTGGTGGTCTAGTGGTTTCAGTGTACTCTCATCTCTGAGGTCGTTAGTTCGCCTTTGGAAGTGTTCTATGTGCGCATTCAATATTATACATGATACTCTTGTTTTAAATAACTTGCATATTATGAATCCAATCTAATAATATTTCCAATTCCTTATTGACTTGTGTTATATAAAGATAAGGCAGGCGATATCGCGGTTCAAGACTCGACTAGGCAATAAGAGTAATTTTAAGAAATTCCTCAACTAAATTAATTCAAAGTTTCACAATTAGCCTCCAGAAGGCTCTAGCTACAATGAATCGTGTTTTCTTTTATTAGTAACTTCGCTGGGTTTTATTAGTTTTGCTGTGACTTTGTATTGTAGCCCAGTTGGTAAAGTGTACACATAGTACCAATACTCTACGTTGAAATAATAACAAACCTAAATTATAAGGTGGTGTGTGACTTAATGAATTATATATATATGTTAACATCAAATTATAGATGTATAAAAATTGTGGCAATACTACACAACACTAGGTTTCAAATGTCTAAATCTGAAACGAAATTAGTGGTAATAATATTAGTAGTAATATTAATATAAATACATCCTTTATTAATAATACCTACCTTTTTTATTTCTTGGTTTACTAAATTAATAATAAGCAACAAAAGTTTTTTAGTACTTGCAAACTAGTATTATTTGTAAGTTAGCAACGGGTGTTATGTTAGGACAAGTTTTATTAGATTAAGTTGGTACTGAAACCCTGACCTAATAATATGACCATAATAAACAACTGTGTTAAGACAAGAACCCTTCATGTCTTAATTTAATAAATTGAAGTCCATCTGAAAATGGTATTATTAAAGAAAATTATTTTTTATTTTTTATAAATGATTGCTTAAGTGGCATAGAGTTTCATTTGAAGCACTTTCATATTAAATAAAATTGCAAAGTATTAGGTTTACTGCGGCCTATGAAAAGATAAGAATCAAAGAAACAAATTCTTAAAATCTTTATTTCCGAACCGATTCGACTTAGGGTCCGTCAAGAAAAGAGCATACCAACTCTTAAAAGGCCGGCATCGTACTGGCGAGCCGTCTGGCGTTGAGAGTGTCCATGGGCACTTATCACTTAACAATTAATGAGCTTCATGCTCTGCCCTCTATTCTACAAAAAAAAATACATCCTCACATCTGGACGTCGCGTCGAGAAACATAACGTCGCCTTAGTAAAAAAAACTAAATTTAAATACATATGGCAACATTTAACAGATACTATATTCGTCAAACTCATGTTCACGGTTTCGTTATAGTAAGTATATTTTAATAGTTTACCTTCTCGACTATGCGTTATTGGCTTGATTCGCCCTCGTGGACCGTAGAGTCCCGGCTCCCGGATAATTAACTCTTTCACCCAAAAATTCGTCAAATGTGTCAAAAAGCCCAGAATGCCACCTACTTGTCTATTTAAAAAAAACCAAAGATGTTATCTAAGAACATGACTATAATAATATGATTATTTTTCTTAATCTCGATAAATTTATACGAATCCTCGAATAAATCGTTAACTAAGCCCAAAGCATTAAGAATATTTCATGATACTTTCGCCCCCGCAAAATTACAAATTGTTTTGCTCAAGACAATTTAACATTTAAATGAACGTCTGAGAACGTCAAGTTCAACAATCTTAGGTGTAACGACCAATATTATATTTATTTTTTATAAATATATTTCATTCTTAAAGTAGTTAACTTTTTTTTGAAAATGGCGTGTGGAATATTAAAGTTGGTGTTTTTCGAGTATTCACTGACCTTAACCATTTATGCTATTGATTTTTTTATTTAGGAAGGAAACATATATAAAAACAGTGGCGCTTCAATCTTTTTAGGTCTGGGCCTCAGATTTCTGTATCTGTTTCATGATAATTTGTCAATCTAATAGGCCAGTAGGATCAGCCTCCCGTGCCTGACACACGCCGAAACTTTTTGGTTGACTATTGTAATTATGTTAATTCTAGCCGTAGTATATGTTGCAGAGGTGAGATATAGCTGAAACGAGGGTAAAGGATATGCGCTAGTCCGTAAGGATATATGTTTCTTAAATTCCTAATAAGCGTTTACTAAGCAAGCCAGTTTCCTTACGATGTTTTCCTTCACCGTTCAAGTGAATATTAAATGTACTCAAAGAAAGAAAGTCCATTGGTGCCAGGAATCGAACCTACGAGCAGGGGTGAGAGTTGCAGGCCAGCACTGCTATATATCTATCATCACTACATAGTATAAAACAAAGTCACTTTCTCTGTCCCTATATCCCTATGTATGCTTAAATCTTTAAAACTACGCAACAGATTTTGATGCGGTTTTTTTAATAGGTAGAGTGATTGAAGATGAAGGTTTTTATGTATAACATCCATTAAATAGTGGAGAAATACTGTTATGTTTGAGGTTTCTAATGTGATGTCGTAAATAATTAATTTTTTTCCGTTTACATTGCAAACGCAGGCTGAACCCTACGAGATTTATCAAAATAATGTACTAAGTATAGTACACATTGAAAAGGTCTATTTAGTATCAGCATTGCAACCGTGCGAAGCCGGGGCTGGTCGCTAGTTGTTATATAAATTATAATAACTAAGATTGTAATAATAAGGAGATTACGGAATGCAGACTACATTCTGTTCTACAATTACATTTTTAATTTAAAATGAGAGTTGTGTTTCATTTAGTGGACACAAAGGATGACGAGTTTTAAATCTTCAGAGAAACGAAATGTACCTTCAGGTGGAATATTTGAAACTTATTATTTTTTCGAACACAATATCACTATTACGACCAACTATAGAATCTAAATATTACGCGTATTATTATGATGTAAGTTACAGATCATCGTGAAAATTTGTGAAATCTCTTGAAATGTATGTTGACATTGCATAACATTACTTTTCGCTTTTACGATGTTTAGCGCCTAATTATCACATCCTTGCCTTCTTATGGCGAGAGTCTCTGACAGACACATTCATAGTTCTATCGTATATATGACTGGCTGAAATTGTCTATCCAAACTTCGTGGTGGCTAAAATTAAAAAAAATACCGCTAATATTTTGAAAACAGAACACGCCGAGTTCCATAAATTAAAGTGAAACAGATAAATTGTGTTGACACAAAATGTCATATTTTACCGCCAAAATGAGGATAATTATGTTAATTCTGGCCGTAGTATATTTTGCAGACGGCCACGAAATCAAGAAGGGAGAAATAGCTGAAGCGAGGGGAAAAGGAAAATATGCGCTAGTCCGTAAGTATACATATATACTTATTACTTAATATCCTAATTAGCGTTTCAAGTATGATAATACGTAGTATCTCAATAATTACAAATTTCTTTAAATAAAAATGGTTTTGACAATTGCCAAGTATGTATTAAATAAATAATTTGTTATATTTATTTGGAGTGCGTTTAATAAAAAATTAAAAAGAAGACCTAGTAAAAAGTCATACAAAAATGTGAATAAAAATTGCTTGCAATGCTTGAATGCAACAATATTTGTTTCTACAACTTTTAAATTCGAATCTTCGTACTTCTAGTTCTAAACATAATTTAAAAGTCACAAATTGCGAAATACAATTACGACTGTGAATGCATGTTCAATTCTGTGACAAAATCGTAAAAGTTCCGATCTCCATTATCGTTCAGATAAAAGCAACTTTTTGAAACATTAATGAGTAGATTGTGCTCTCTGTAAAGTTAGGCGTGCTCTTTCGAAGTGCACCAAAAACTCTAGAATATGTCACGGGAACTCTCGAGAGATTAAATCGGTTTTATTGTCACAAGAATTTGTACCAAGGCTTTGAATGCCAATTGAAATCCAGCCTGTTTGTTAGTCCTTTCTCATCTTGTTTTTTTTGTGAACATTTCTCTTAAGTTTATTTATTTAAGCATTCCAGAGTGTAACTATGATATTAAGGAATGACTTAGAGAGAACTACTACTCCCGCATGTCAACATACAATACATTTTTGATGTACATGAGTCAGAGTTAGGCTTGTTTCTGAATTTTACTGTGAGAATATTAGACCACGGTACTACATATTTACCATAATAGCGATGTATGTTTCGTGTAAAAAACTTCATTGCGTTTTTGTAACGCGCGTTCAATAAGTATTAATTTAACATTAAAAACGTTAATTTATCTTTAAAAATGCTCTGAGATTCCTCTATTATAGCAGCAGTATACGAGGTTCATTTAAGAATTTAAAAAAAAACATCTTTGACCCAATTGTACGAACATAACATGTATTTAAAATTTTAAAATATCTCTTGCAGTTAACCTTGCAATAGTTTTGGCTGCAAAAGTGGGTCTATACAAGATTTTTTTCGGAATTGCTTTCCTGGTAGCAGCCATTAAGGCAATGGTTCTTATGGCGTGGTCTCTAGCCATTTATAGATATATCCCGAACTGGGCACATCCAAAAACGTCGGATTTTCCTGATAATTATGACAGAGTGCAGCCTCCATCTACTCTATTTTTGGATGCGATTATAAACAACATAAAGAGACATAACTAGGTACCTTTTATTCTTAATTATTTGATAATATTGTATTTCTCTATTTAACTTAATGTAGACAAAGTGTTGGCTTTAGCGTACGACTCACATACCTGAGGTCGTTAGTTTGATTCCCGGTTCTGCACCAATCGACTTGCTTGTGTGCATTTAACATTCGCTCGAACGATGGAGGAATACATCGCGAGGAAACCGGTTGCCTTAGACCAAAAAAGTCGGCGTGTGGCAGGCACAGGAGGCTGATCACCTACTTGCCTATTAGATTGACAAACGATCATGAAACAGGTACAGAAATCTGAGGCCCAGAAATAAAAAAGTTGTAGCGCCACTGATTTATATATTTTTTTTAAAAAAGATGTAGAACGAACTAAAAACTTTATAATTTATTTAATTAAGTGATTGGTTTTATCCGGATTGTAACCATATTTGTGGATATATTCTAAACCCAAAAATCAGCCTTGCGATTCTGTAACTCACTTTTCGAACTCTCACAGCGGCGGTCGCGCTCAAATCAGTCGTAAAGCAGTATATACAATAAACTACAAGCTCCCTCCTTTTCAGAATGCCAAATCATAAAATGAATGAACTGTAAAATGATTTGAGCGCGACCGCCTCTGCGAAAACCGCTGTGAGAGTTCGAGTTCCAGCTAAAGCTCTAGGTGAGTTTTTAATATGTTTTTGATAAACTCGAGGGGACTCAAACTTCAATCTCGTTTCTGAATCTTATACTTTAGACCGTCGATAACTATGCCTAGGTAGACTATACCAACTATTCTTTCATCTCGACAAATAGGTCTTTAAAACATAGTTTGCATAAGATAAAATCCAGTTATAGTTTAATAAGCAGGAACTTTCTACATTTTCCTTCCTTTTTTTAAATTCTCGAGTAATCGCTAAGGTACACAGCTTTCATAAGTTCAGCTCATCTGCACCTATAAATTGCAAAATAAGTATTTTAAAACCTAGGAACTTTTAATAGAATCCCTGATAATAACTTTCTTTATCGTGTTTAAAATTATTTTTGCGCGAAATTGTTTTACCAAGTTTAGGATTGTCGAGGAATTAAATAAGATTTTGGAAATGTTGTTAAGAATTTCGTTTGATTTACGGGCTTTTACATTACTTTATAAGTAGCAATGTAAATAAATGCAACTGGTTTTAATAATATACTATCAGCCCCCTCCGGATTTACTTGTATTTATTGGTCATAGCCTAATGTTATTTTTAGTAAATGGAATATAGAACCGACTTTTTTAATCCGAACCATAACCTAAAATTAACGTGATTATACCTATTTGAAAATTTATAAGTGCAACCAACGTAACAATCAAACACTTTTATATATATTATAATATCTAGTAACTAAAAATGTTTTATCATATTAGCAAAGCGGAAAACCTAAAGTTCTTTTAAATTAGAAGTCATAGTTGAAAAGTGAAAACAATAAAATTATATATAACCTACGGTATTTATTTGTTTAAACAATTTTAATTCGCAACAGTTGTATTAATGAATAAACATAACCTTAATACACAAATGTGAGACGGAGAATTAATGCTGACAGCATTTTCTTCCTGAACTGCGGTAAAAATGATATTTTACCTTTCTTCTAACTTCAAAACACTAAACAAAGAAGTTTATAATCTAATAATTATTTTTAATCTGCTTGTATGTGTTGTAACATAGGTAGGCGATTAGGTAATAAGGCATATTCAACTGAGTCTGTGTCATTGGCGGCCATACTACAGGCCCTAACTATAAAATTTTCACATCCCATACAAATTATTATGTTGTCGGGAGTGTATCCCTGGATTACACACCTTTTTCATCCAAACACAACCGTGCCCTTACTCAACTCTGAATAATTAAATCAAGAATGAAGAACATAGCCTAGTCTGGGGATTTTTATGATTGGAAACTATGCATGCTAAATAAATGAATGCTAACCACATTTTTTCTAAGATATTATTTTATGTCTAAAACATTAATTAAATAAAAAAAGCTGCTACCCATTATTTTTGACATAAGATTATTAATTCTTATGCAATTTGCGCCAGCTATGTACATGTCGGGGTGGTATGTAACTATTATAAAAACCGAAGGAAGGATTGAATTCTGCCAATTATTAGGTTCATTATTTGTTATATCTTCACTATTGAGAGTTACAGAGTCCATAATTTATAAAATAATGTGCATGATGTAACGTTTAACGTACCTATTTCATCTTGTTTCAGTACATTTCCTCTACGTGGCAGCAACAAAACTATTCGTACTAAAACTCGTGTATGGAGCACTCTTCTACGTTATCGTCTACAAAGCGTGGCACTTAGTTCTCTGGCTGCTGAAGTATATAAAAGCGAACAAGCATCACCACATTGAATATGAACATATATATGACCATGGACATGTTGATTTTGGTCATGACCCCTACGGTGCATATGAGAAACCGATATATGGAAGAAAGGAATATTCCAGTAAGGTGTATGATTCAGACGGATCGTATTCAGTACAAAGCTAGTGTCATCAGGTCTTAGGCTGACTTTCATAATATTCTGATTGTCAGTCAGTACACGATAGTACTGCTAAGTCTTCATAACAGAAAAATTAAATAAGAAAGGAACGAAAACCTAGGCAACGCAAGCGTGCTGCATGTATTAGATTATCATGCTGTTAGTCAGCGCTGACAATTCAGCGCGTAGCTATCAGTGCCAAGCTGCTGTGCTGTTTATATAACAAATCTATGAAGTTAAATCACGCATCGCGCTTTGGGTTGATATAAATATCGCGGCCTCTGACATATCAAGACTATTCTAAAGTGGTTTAAGAATAATGCCGATAGCTGAGCGCTGAAAATAGCTGTCAGCTGGCACTGATAGATACACGCTGAATTTTTTATTTAACGTTTCCGTTATGAAGTCATAACAGTACTAGCTAGTAAATAATATTAAGAAAAGTAATTACAGGGTTAAAAAGGCATGGATATATTTAATTCATTTATTTTTAGTATTTATTGTAAAATATTATTAGTAAGAAACAGTTAAGATCTAATGTTTGATTGTAAATAGAGGCATAAAAGTGTAATATCAATCATTGACTATTGTAAATAAAACTTGTTTATCATACTTAATTTTAATAAAATTGGTAATTAAAACATAAATTTCATAATTGGCATTTATACAGGTCCTAGATTTAAAGAATATATTATTTGATAGGCTGAATTGATTTAAAAAGATCATATTGAATGATACGTTCGCAGAATTTTTTCTGTCCCATCCAAATACGGGTACATTTCAGTTGATGTAATATTCAAGAGTGGCCCTCTGTACTACTGATAAAAAGATAAATAAATCTAAAAATATTTCCTTTGATTCTATGAATAATGTCAAGGATATTTCATAAATCAATTAAAGGAGAGAAAAGAAACCCTTTATAATATAATTTTAATGTCAATAGCATCGCGCAAATATTTCAGAATGACATTTGATTTTTCATATTTAAAATGATAATAAATTAATATTTTATGAATTATCTCTTGCTGGTTAACGTATATTAGTGGTTTATAAGATACCCAAAAGTCTTCTTTATAAAGCCAATGAAGCTTACTATCATTTCCTCTGTGCTTTGGCACAGTAAAGTACCCGCTTGTTTTAGTATCACGGCTGTAATGTATTAATATTAGGTGCCTGAAAGAAAGAACCGCTTACCGCAGTTCAACGCGAGGAAATTTTGCCAGTTCCTATGTCACAGGAACCATTTTTTAAATTACGGTTTAAGTTTTAATTTACGATAGTGCCGTATCACCTCAATGTTTATAAGTGTTTATAAGCTGTTCTTGCGTGCACCACCTTGCTGGAACCAGCTGACCATAGCTAACCTAACCGGGGAGCGACGTATTTATTCATAGGACGTCGCCAATTAGTCATTTAATTTAATTAGCACTTAAGTGACCCATCTGCCCCTTTGCATTCTAATGTATATTTGTAAAAGGTTGGGTAAACAAAATGTTACTTTATTTTTATATCAAAAATTATATTCATAACATAAATAACATTCTCGTTAATAATATACTATAAATGAGCAGCAGATACAACCTTGTTTCTATAAAAATAATTGTGAAATCACATGCATTAGTTATTTTTAAATTAAAATAAATAAAAATCATTTAATTCAGACCATTAAAAGTCCATATATTGTTAGTAGAGTACTTATAACTATGTAAGTAAAATTAAAATTAGCAAAATTATTAGACACAAAAGAAGTTTTTGAAGTTCTTAGTAATAGTTCATAATGCAGAGTTTACGAATGTAATGATGTCTAATTAAAACTTTCTATCGAAACGAGAAGTTCCGAAAGTTCTGATCCTTGCTAGTTTATTGAAATTGCAATTGACGTAAATTAAATTTCAATTTATTATTACAAATTGAAATTCATCAAATTGATATTGAACTTGTTTAGCGAACACGCCGTCATTGAGGGTAGTTTAAATATTTGGATACGACGCCACTGAATTATTAATTTCGACTACAATCTAGACGTCATAAACATTTGCTTGAACAAAAATTTAATCTGAACGACATTTTCTTGAAAGCAGCAGAAAAACATTGTTCAGATTTAAATTTGTTCACCCAAGAATTCAATGGTTTCACAATTTAATATTATTGTAGCTGAATTAATTCACTACCTCGACTCGAGCGATTTGAATTAAGAATAACGGATACTATAAGTCTTTATAAGCAAGCAGGTCAACATGGCCCTTCTCACTATGTTTCCTTTATCGATCGAGCAAGTGTTAATAGCAATAATCGGGATTTGAATACAGGACTTAAGGCTGGAGAATCGCATGCTTGAATATGCAAAATACCGTAACAAATATGAGTTATGTTACCTAATGTTAATTAAGTTACATATATTATAAGCGTAAACAAAATGTAAACAATCATTTAGTTTTTACCACACTTATAAATTGTATTTTAACATAGTTGTTGTATAATCGATAGTTTCGAGTGTAGTCTTTTCGACTGACTTTAAACTATTTCCATTTCGTAAAAGCAGATTGATTAATCTACACCAATTTAATTATAAAAAATGCTTATATTCTATTGACAAAATATATAGGTACATATATGGATTTGGAGTGATCCCATATCATAGGCAATCCAAACTTTAAAGACTGTGTGTGCCTTTCTCCCATTGTTGTAGATGTTCAACGCATATTTTACACACATTATGAGGCACCCATACTTTATCTTGGTATCGAATTTCAATACCGAAATAACCTAAATACAAACGATTATACCACAAACATAACAAAACGTATCAGGATCGTTAACACAACATCTGGACCTACTAGCCATAATGAATTAGTAACAATAACTTTATCAATATTAATGTAATAATGACTATTGCCGAACAAGGTGGAAAACAATTAAAAATGAGGGTAGAAGATAAACTAGAGCTGATGAGTTAAAATGACGTTAGGGAAAAAGGCTTGATAGGGCACACTTTCAACAGAAAGGACAATAGATGTTTCCGGATTGTAATAAAAAACCTCCATCCGACGACACCAGTAGATATTATTAAAGAAGACATAGAGGCAACAGGAAACATAGTCACTGGAGATATAATAAATGCAAGGTACGGGCCAAACAAGAATCCAACATCTACATTCTTTGTTAATCTAGTTAGTGGTCCCCACAATAAGGCTATTAAAGACCTAAAATATATCTACCACCAAAGCGTCACCATAGAAGAACCAAAAAAAAGAAAACACTAGTTCAATGCCAGAGATGCCAACAGTATGGTCATACCAAGAACTATTGTATGAGACCATACAGGTGTGTGAAATGTGGGCAATCACACAAGACATCAGAATGTCAAAAACGAGACCGGAGCACTCCAGCACTCTGTGCCCTGTGTAATGGACCACATCCAGCTAATTACAAGGGATGTGAGGTCTGTAAATAAATTCAAGCAAGAAAACAAAAAAATCCAATCAATATTCCTATACCAACTACTAAAACAGCATCTAAAACACCTAAAAAGACTGAACTGAATACTAGTACAGAACCCAAGAGACAAGAAAAGAGATTAAGTTATGCTAAAGCCGTAAAACCAGACCAAATAAACAACACATTCCAGAACAATTATGATAATACTCACATCCCAGGACAAATAAACGCGACCCTAGTACAAATTATTATAAAACAGACAGAAAAGTTTGACATCATCCTACAACAAATGAGCACCCTCATGTGCCTCATAACCAAACTCGTCGACAAACTGACAAAATGACTACACTACGGATTGCGACCTGGAACATCAACGGTCTTGCCACCAACAACCATGAAGTTAACCTGTTCATGTCCCAACATAAGTTGGACATTCTCCTTATTTCCGAGGCTCACTGTAAGGCTAATTCTATAGTAAGGTTTCAAGACTACCACTGCTACATTACAAACCACCCTGACGGTACCAGTCACGCGGGATCAGCCATTATTGTAAAAAAGTCAATCAAACATCATCAAATGCCTAATTATGAAACGGAGCCTATCCAAGCAACCACTATAACTGTTCATGACAAAACAGGAGACATCAATGTGACAGCAGTATACTGCCCACCTAAGCACAACATGACGGAGTCAATGTACTCCGATTTCTTTAAGACTCTGGGACACCGCTATATTGTAGGTGGAGATTGGAATGCCAAACATACTTCCTGGGGCTCAAGATTGACGAATACTAGAGGAAAACAGCTAAAACTGAGCATAACTAAAAACAACTCAAGCACCGTATCCACAGGTGAACCCACTAACTGGCCTACTGATGCCAAGAAGGTGCCTGATCTCATAGACTTCTTTATTACTAAAGGATTAACGAAGTTATACATGAAACCTGAGTCTTGTTATGACAGCTCTACAGATCACAACCCGGTGCTCCTGACCATTAGTACTAACCTAATAGAAGTATCAAGATCAATAAGGTTATGTAATAAACGCACAGACTGGAACACATTCCGTGAGCACATTGAGGAATCAATAAATATGAAAATTGCCCTTAAAACACCCGAAGATGTAGATGAAGCAGCTAAATACATAACGCTGTTAATACAGGAAGCATGCTGGATAAGTACTCTTGAAATTCAGACCCCCAACAATAGTGGAGTAAACAACTATCCCCTAGAAATAAAAAAGGCTGTCCTTGAGAAGAGACGACGTCGAAGAATTTGGCACCTAAGTAGGCTTACTGTGGACAAAACCAACTTTAACAGAGCTGCAGAAGATCTCAAGTCACTATTGCAAAATTGGCATGATAACTCATTCCAAGCAAAGCTAGAAAGCCTAACTGCTACAGAGTCTACAAACTACTCGCTCTGGAAAATAACCAAAAGTTTCGACAGACCACAAGCTGCTAAACCACCCTTAAAGTGTGCTGAAGGATGGGTGAGAAAACCACAGCAAAAAGCAGACCTATTTGCTAAACACCTGTCAAAAGTATTCTGCCCAAATGATCCCGTAGACG